CCGAAGGAACAGAGGACTTCGTTGTCTACTGCGATGCGTCTAATCAAGGTTTAGGTTGTGTGCTCATGCAAAGAGGAAAGGTGATTGCCTATGCCTCAAGACAGCTGAAAGCACACGAGGTCAACTATACCACACATGACTTGGAACTAAGAGCCGTAGTCTTTGCATTGAAGATTTGGAGACATTATCTCTATGGAACCAAGTGCACGATCTTCACTGATCACAAGAGCCTGCAACACATCTTTGATCAGAAAGACTTGAACATGAGGCAATGGCGATGGGTAGAACTACTCAATGATTATGAGTGTGAAATCCGTACCACCCCGGCAAGGCCAATGTGGTAGCAGATGCCCTTAGCCGAAAGGATAGTGCAGGCCACAAAGTGAAGAACCAGACGATGACCATCCATTCCAACTTACCCATGCAAGTCCGAGAAAACCAGTTAACAACCCTCAAACCCGAGAACATGTCGAATGAAGCCTTGAGAGGAATGGAAAAGAAACTTGAGATCAGAGGTGACGGAGTTTACTGTTTCATGGATCGAATATGGATTCCCAAATCCGGAGGATTCAGGGAAATAGTCATGGAGGAAGCACACAGAACCAAATACTCTGTTCACCCAGGTTTGGACAAGATGTACCTGGATCTTAAGAAGCAATACTGGTGGCCAAACATGAAAGCTGAGATAACTACATTTGTGGGCAAGTGTCTGACTTGCGCCAAAGTCAAAGTTGAACATCAGAAACCCTCAGGTCTGCTCCAACAGCCCGAGATCCCCGACTGGAAATGGGAGATGATTACCATAGACTTCATCACCAAACTACCCAAGTGTTCTAGTGGGTACGATACCATTTGGGTAATTGTCGATCGTTTGACAAAATCCGCTCACTTCATTGCGATCAAAGAATCATACAAGATGGAAAGACTCACGCGAATCTACATCCAGGAGGTAGTACGTCTACACGGTGTACCTGTATCCATTATCTCTGATCGAGATAGCAGGTTTACCTCCAGATTCTGGCAATCCCTTCAGAAAGCCCTTGGAACCAAACTAGATATGAGCACGGCGTATCATCCTCAGACTGATGGACAGAGTGAGAGAACAATCCAAACCCTCGAGGACATGCTTAGGTCATGTGTCATTGACTTTGGAAAGTCGTGGGACACACATCTATCTTTGATCGAATTCTCGTACAACAATAGTTACCACACCAGCATTAGGGCTGCTCCGTTTGAAGCCCTATACGATCGTAAGTGCAGATCCCCTCTGTGTTGGGCTGAGGTGGGGGATACACAATTAGCCAGGAGTCGAGTCCCCGACAGTGCTCTCACTGGTCCTGAAATCATCCGTGAAACCACCAAAAAGATCATTCAAATCCGTAACTGATTGAAAGCTTCACGTGATCGCCAAAAGAGTTACGCTGATAATCGTCGGACACCACTAGAATTCCAGGTTGGAGACCGTGTACTGTTGAAGGTCTCGCCCTGGAAAGGCACTGTACCCTTTGGTAAGCATGGGAAACTTAATCCAAGGTACATTGGACCCTTCGAGATCCTCTCCAGGATTGGTCCAGTTTCCTATAAACTTTTTTTACCTCATGAACTCAGTAACATTCATCCTGTCTTCCATGTCTCAAATCTTAAAAAGTGCCTATTCGATGAAACCCTAGCGATTCCCATAGACGAGATCGAGATCAATGAAAACCTCAACTTTGTGGAGGAACTGATCGAAATCATGGATCAAGAAGTCAAACGTACAAATCAAAGTCGAATCCCGTTAGTGAAGGTTCGCTGGAATGCCAAGCGGGGACCGAAATTCACTTGGGAGCGGGAAGATTCAATGAAACAGAAGTATCCATAACTCTTTCCAGATCCATGATTTGTATCTTGTCTTGTGTTTTAAACTTTGAATTTCGGGACGAAATTCCCTTTAACAGGGGGATAATGTAACAACCCGAAATTTCCATACCATCTCTTGTAACTCTTTTGTAGTACAATTCACGCAAACAATCGTCGTTTCAAATTCGATTTCCGATCTTCTGTTTAATTATGTCATTAACTGGTACGTATTTAAAATGACTTAATGGGTGTCTTAATACATTTAGAAATCATTTTTAGACCCAACTTTAGTGATAGGAATATTTCTAGAAATTACTGTATCGGGTTACGACAACTCAATTGGGTACGACCAAAAGCCTCATCTAATGCCGGTATCGGGTAGAATTCCACCGTGTCCAAAACTTAGACACTATATAAAGTGTTTTAAGACTCCATTTGAAGCCTTTAGCCCTTTTCTCATAAAACTCTCCCAACCTCTCTCCTCATCCATAATCAAAGGTCCAAAACAAAGATTTAAGGCTTCCAATCAAAGAGGTAACATCCCTAACTTGTTATCTAACCTATTTAGCCTTCAAATTGATGTTTAAACTTAGTATTGGGACCAAGAACAGGAGTTTATGGCCAAGGATAAAGCTTGGGCCGTAAACTCCTCAAAATGGGGTTTTTTAATCCAAAATTACCCTTCCAAATCATAGTTGGGACTTAGATATGACCTTGAGGCTTACCAATCTGGACTTGGAACACATTAAACATGAATTTTGTGGGACAAACAAGAGTTTATGGCCAAGACTCCTTCTTGGGCCGTAAACTCCTCAAAAAGGGGGATTTAGTGCCTTAAAACATGTCAAAATGCCTAGAAACTCAACCAATGGCCTTGTGGTAAATCCTAGAACCATCTAAAAATGGTTTGGAGACCTTAAACACATCAAATGCCTTACATATTGGAGTTTACGGCCTAAGCACATAGCCTTTGGCCGTAAACTGATATAGACATGCCAAAAATGTCCTTAAACCACCCCAAAGGCTTGGATAAATTCCTAGAAGTTACATATGAGTGTTTTAAGCATCAAAAACTAATTTTCCTTAACCATATTAGAGTTTACGGCCAGAGGGTATATGTCTGGTCCATAAAATCGTATAAAGTTGTCAAATGAAGCCACAAGTTGATACCAAGCCATAGAAAATTAGTTAGAATCACATGTGATTGTCCTTTGTAGCTTAAAACAATTTTTCTTGGCCATGGGTGAGTTTACGGCCGTAAACTCCAAGGTTGTGGCCATAAACTCCATTCCAAGTGGTATAAACTCATTTAGTCTATTCCAAGGCATTTTAGAAATTCATTCCGACAATCCCCATGTCCATTTAAGCCATTAAACACTCAAAATAACACCAACATGAGTTTACGGCCGTAAACTCATGTGTGGGTGTGTTATGTGGCTGTAAACTCCTTAAAATGTTTACTATTGGGGAGTAAACTCAAGTCCCAAGTCCCTAGTGCCAACACACGTCCGAAGATGTCACCCGGGTCACTCCAAACACTCGTTTTGAGGTGTTTAACCTCGTTGTAGTGTAATGTTCCATATAATTAGTGAATGTATCCCTAATTGAATATGTATGGATATTATTTCATTTTACATAGGTACATCGCGAGTAATCAATCCCCGAACCAACATCTAGTATCCAAAACCGACGCATTTCCGAGTCCGGTGAGTTCATACCCCTACCCTTTTTCACTGTTTTCACTGTTTTCAGGGGGGGGGGGGAACACAAGCAAAGTACAAGGGAAATTCTTGTACTCAAAACATGTTTTCAAATGTGTGTTTCATAATCCATATGCTTTTAATACTGATTACTATAATTGATAACCATTTGAACATGTAGATCACGTAACATATATTTGTGAAATGGGTCTTTAAACTGTTATGTTTTACATATATTTCACAAATGGCTTTCCACATTTTATCAGTTAAAAGCATGACATTATACATTTGAATGTAATACCTTTACACTGTTTTGTCCTCGGTAACACTCCACTTATATACGCGAGTGGAGGACTACCATATTATTACTAGTAAATTTGTTAATCCTGTATGATTGGAGACACGTCCTCGGCGAACACTCCACATAGATACGCGAGTGGAGGACTACACCCGTAACCAGAATCTCTGGTATTTAGAGAGCGTTACTTGAGTGTATAGATCTATACAGGGCTGACTACCCCACACCTGGCTGCTAGCTACAGCCGAACCGAAATGCCTCAAGGGTGACGAAAGTCATAAGTATGTGGACTACTTATTGCCACATGTGGACTACTTATTGCCACAGGTTTAGTCCATCGTATGGTTATGGAACTCGCAATTAGGATAACAGAGATTTACTTATAGTAATAATGAACCACTTTTTACATCTTTTACATCTTTCACATACGGCAATCAACGTTCAGGAAAGTATGGGACTTTCCTGGGGTAATCATGGAACCTAACCACGTTTACATCTTTTACATCGTTCACATTGGAAACCAATATGCAGGAAAGCATAGGGCTTTCCTGGGTAACTCTTACATAACTGGAAAAAGTAACAAACTGGATAACATTACATCTTTTACAATTGGTAATATACAATAAGGAAAGTATGGGACTTTCCTGGGAATACATGATAGGTAAACAGAACAGTTTAACAAGCCGGATAACCAAACTATACATTTTCACATGAGTTGACATGTTTTCAGTGTACAAACTTACTATACTTTACATTTGTGAAACAACAACCAACTTTTAAGAAAATATGGGATTTTCTTGGTGTGCGTAACATTTCGGAAACAGAAAGGACACTTGAACATTTTCACAAACAAAAACCGCTTATGAACTCACCAGAGTTATGCTGATTTTCAAACCGCTTGTGTTCTCAGGTTAGCGTTAGAACAGGTACTCGAAGATCCATTTTTGGTCAGAAGACGGAGTACATGAATACCCGTTTCATTTTGTTTATATATACTATGTATCACAACTGTACAAACTTTACTTTTGAAACAACTGTAAAACTTTTCTTATGTAATGTAATGGTTGTTTTACTTTACTTACTATGTGCATTGGATTTGATAATCAACGTGGAGAAAACCCCGAAAATGTTTCCGCCTTTGGTTTTCGGGGTGTGACATCCTATCACCGCCAGAGTCTTCCGGAAGAAACGTGGTGGTTGGTGGTGGTGATGAGCAGCAAAGTATTGATGGGTACCAGTTCATGATTGCCAATAGGAGTTTTCCTGTGGGTGATTGGAGGAATAAAAATGATTTTAGGAACACTGGTGGTTATGATTTCTCAGGTATATATCACGCTACATTTTTGGGTTAATGAAACATCACATAGTTTGGAGTTTTTCTTAGTTATAGAACTGTTTAGAAATCTTTTTTTCCAAAAGTTAATGGTGTTTGGAAGACCCTTTATATCTCCATGAAGAATCTCAAACTCATCACACACTCTACATAAATATATTGAAAACTCATCATCATGTTGAATTAATATACTTATACACTTGTAATGAAAAAAAAGAGCTTACGAATTCTGAAAAAAGCTAGAATTATTATTAGCAGCATTAGATGATTGTGGTAATCCTGTACGAAAACCAAGTTCAAGTATTTGTACCTTTTGCCAAAGTAAAGCAAGTTCTCTTGGATATAGAAGATTTCAAATGAGTTATAAAAAACAAGTTCAGTACTTTATTCATGATATGTTGTACAAAATTCTGGAAAGAAAAAAGTAAATAACCATTAAACTTATGTAGGACATTAGTAGCATGGTATATATATATATATATATATATATATATATAACTGTGATACATTAACAAAAGAATATGTATCAGTAGCATGGTATATATATATATATATATATATATATATATATATATATATATATATATAACTGTGTAAAGAAAAATACAAACTTAAGTAGACATTAGGACAATTTCAAATTTTAGTCTAAACTTAAAGAAATGGGTATTTTAGTACTTCAATGACTTTGCAATTGGTAACTGAAAATCTGAAACATGTACAAGTTTGACAATCTTACCCTTCATACTGGGAACCTATATCAGATAACTTACCCTTCATACTCGGAACCTATATCAGATAACTTATCCCTGCAACAAGATGCTCATCCATGGTTGTTGTTGGAGGAGGAAGTAATAGAGCAGGAACATCAGTTGCAGTTAGAGTTTAGAATTTACATACCTTGTAAAGAGAAGCAGCTGATTCAGATTCAAGGGTCTGATTGTTTTAATCCCTTGAAACCCATCCAAAGCATCTAAAGTCAACTGCCACCCACAACCACCACCACTTGAGGTGGAGGTGAGTCCTACCCCCACCTCGACCCCTGCTGTAGCAACATTCCCATCAACCCAAGGACAGAAGAAATTATGATGCTTAATTGGATCAAACTCCATTGCTTCTTCAAAGTTGCTTTCCCCATTTGGAGGCCCTAAATACCAAAATATATAAATAAAATAAAAACGATTAAATGTTCAATCATTTTTAACAGAAAAAAAGGACTCTAACCTAGCCCATTTGATGGAGGGTAATTTGGGAATCCACATTCATCATTAGGAGACGATTTTCCCACCTACATCACTTCATCTCTGGAAGCTTCAAATCCCGAACAAACAACCACATTACACGAAAGAGAAGGATGAGAAAGATTCACATCACTATCTTCTTGACTCTCAGTGACAAAATTACCAGTTTGCCCTTGGTTCTCAGTCACACCAGTAACCACTTCTATATCACCAACATGCTGCAAGCTTGCTTTTGAAGAACACTATTCCAACCATAATCACCTTCCAAGCCCATTTGCTGAACTTCTTGATGAGGTAAGATTTTGACGGACTGTATATACAAACTCACTGAAATGCATACACGAAAAACCCTAAATTAAAAAAACAATAAAAAATTAGAAAATAAAAAATAACCCTTTTAAAAATTTGATTAACTTAACCAGATCCCTCGGCTACTTGAATGCCAGCTGAGCCCTTTGTCTCAAGCAAAGATTTAAGATGGCTTAGGAAACCATGAAATCCATGCAACTCAAAGGGTAATTCTGGTATTAATGGTAATTACTAATTACCTGATGAAAACACTATTAATTTCACAAACCCAATACCACTAAAACAATAGTGTCCATGTGACCATGTGTATGTTTGTTTGTCTTTTTGGATTTGTCATTGGTGTTAAGATAGCATCTTGATTTCATCACCGCACAGGTTGTATGATCATAAGGACCTGAAGGAAAATGCAAAATAAAGACAATAAACAATTGAATCCAAAAGGTATTAATGGTATATGAAAAAAAACAGTAGATATACTTCGAGAAAGGAAGTATGAAAATACAGAACCTAGAAATTAAAAAAAAAAGATCATTGCTTTAAGAGATTTCTCTTCTTTAAGTGTTTAGATTTGATACAAATACAAACCTAGCCTATTTTTTTTATACGAATACAAACCTAGGCTATTTTTTGATAGAAGGATTTCTAGGGGAATGATCTCTTGTTTCATAGAAGGGGAGATTATAGATTCACCTATCATAAAGTGTGATACTAGCATCATGAATTCATTTAACACATACTGTCACACCCCAAAACCAAGAACAGCGGAAACGTTCTGGGGCGGAGGACGTCATGTAAGTATCACAACACAGTAAATGTAAATAAGCAAACAACATCATCCATTGCATTAAATATATAATTTTAATACAAGCGTGTTCTGTACAGTATAGACACCAAAAATAATGTATATCAAAATAATAAGATGAGTCTTGAATGCGCTCCATCTTCTCAAAAGCTGGCCTCGGTACCTGTCTACTGATGACCTGAGAATACAAGTTATTTTGAAAGAGTTTATCAGCATTAAGCTGGTGAGTTCATAAGTATTTTAGTGTCGGTATTTGTCATCCAAAAATGTTTGAACATGTATCAAGTATAAGTTTGTACCTGTCTACTAATATTGAAACGACCTTCGGATGGTCACCCGAAATCCCACCAGACCACATCTCAGTGCGCGAAAAGGAAATAGGGCGGATGACCTTCCTAAGCCCTTTAAAAATTACTTATATATATATATATATATATATATATATATATATATATATATATATACACACATATATGGGCATGCAATTTATAAGAAGTAAAACAAAGTTTAATAAAAGCATTTGATAAGTAAAAAGAGTTTGTAAAACATATTGAAGTGAAACAGTTTGATAAACAGTTGAACAGTGAAAAAATCAGTGGTTTTCTAGTTATTAATCACATGTGATTAATGTAATCACATGTGATTGATGTAATAACCATAAGTATTTGACTTGTATTCCCCCCCCCCATAAAGTATTTAAAACATTTAAAAGTATTTCAAAGGTTGATTAAAGGGGTATGAACTCACTTGAGGTGAGTAGATTGAATTGATGTATCGGGTACCGTGCTAGGTAGCAAACGGAGATTGTTCACACGTTCGAGCCTAGTTATCATATAATAAGCATATATACAACTAATTAGCCAAATAATAACTTAACAAAGTAAGTTAAGACACTTAGGAACATGTATACACTTTATATAAGTGTTATAGGTCCTAATGGTTGCATCTAAGTTGATACGGGACAAGGCAAAAGGGGTTTAAAAGCACAAATGGCCTTGTATATGAGTTCACCACCCAACAAACCCCAACCATTGGAGTTTACGGCCATGAACCCATGAGTTTACGACCGTGAACTCCTCACATGGTTGGGTGTTTTGAGGTGTTATCTTGATCCTAGAATAAGCCTAGCCTTGTTGGAATAATACTTGAAGTAATTTAAGGCCTTGGAATGCTCCTTTGGGGAGTTTACGGCCAAAGGACCATATCCCCTAGAGTTTACGGCCGTAAACTCCTATGGGGTGTTGGTTTTAATTCTTTTGAGGCCCTTGCATGTGTAGGATAGCTTCCATGCTTTTATCTAAGGCTAAAGGGGACAAGAGGCACACTTTTATGTCATCACTTGGAGTTTACGGCCCAAGATATGTTCCTTGGACGTAAACTCCCTTTAAGGGGTGATTTTTGATGTCCTTTACTCCTCATTCAAGTTCTAGGTATTCAAGGGTAATAGTCTTAAGGTCTTAGGGGTGTTTGTGGCATCTTTAACACTTGAAAAAGGGGTTTACGACCCAAGATCTTTCCTAGGCCGTAAACTCCTAAAACCCTAAGATCTTGAAGTGTTTTGGTGTCCAAATTAATCACAAGCATTAGTGGGTAAAGTCCTTATGCTTTAGGGGGTGATTAGGGCACACTTTGTCCCTTGGAAATGGGGTTTACGGTCCAAGAAACTCTTGGCCGTAAACTCCAATAGTCTTATGATCTTGGATGATTTTGGACATTTAAACAACGTTATAAAGCATATAACAAACATTAAAACACATTTAGGCAAGTAGACTCACAATCCAGGATGAAAACCCGAAGATCCGTCAGAGAGAATTGGCTTTTCTCTAGTTGGAATTGTGAATAATGAATTAATTAAATTCATAAATCTATTTATAGTCCTGAAATATTTTGACAGAAAATATTTTTATTCCGGAAGTTGGACTATAACATTATGAAACTTACAATGTTCAAGTTTCACAATTACAGGAGCATCCACTCTCCTGATATGTCCAGAAACATAAACCCTAATGTACACAAACTTGTTCGGATAAGTCTGAAAATTACAGAAACTGGACTAGCTTCTATTGAATAGATAATGTTCGTACAAATGGAAATTTCGGGATGTCACACATACCTCACCAACAACAGTTAATGGAGTGCCTATTGGAAGAACACATTCAATTCTCTTGACTCCAAGCATCTTCAAAACAACGACATAATAAGCCATACTTAGCATCATGAATTCATTTATATGCATACATAAAAATAATGTAACAAATCAAGACATTCCATACCTTCAGACCTTGTAGATAATCTAATGTTCGACGAACAAGTGATCTTCCTGACTCCTCAAATACTTCACTTCCAACAGTTAACACCAAACAAGCAGCACAACGAGATCCAAGAACATATACGTGAGTACTTCCATTGTCCTAATAAAAAAAATGTAAAATGAAGGACATGATTTCAATGCGTTTATGTGAGAAAATGGGACAAACAGTCAATAACATTCTTACATTGAAAGCAAAAGTAGCCAACATATTGATGAGAAATGCAGGTTACCATGCCATGTTGTGGAATTCCTTATGTAATGCAAACAATCAAATCCAGTTCAGCCTCTAATGCTTCCATGATTGCTGCTGCAGCAAATGGTGGAGGCACATATACAGATGCATTAGCCTTGGTTTCAGCTTTTGCATCTGCAACTGAGATGAAAACAGGGAGCCTTAAATGCTCTGTTCCACCCTTCTTTGGGGTAACTCCACCAACCTACAGAAGTCAAGAACAAGGTTCAAAATAAAAGAAAAAACACTTTCAGAGCTACATGTTGAAATTATTTATATACATTTGTTAGATCATTATTAAATTTTATCCAGACTAAAGAATGTTGTATTCGTAATTAATAGTACAAAATCAAACAATCATTTTACAGATCACCATTACACGAACCTGGATGTCACTGGCCGTACCTTCCACTGTAAACCTTCTAAGATCTGAAGCTCCATAACTAGAATATCTTTCTCTTACTAGTGTTTAGTTTGTGTATTAGATCGATGTTATCAAAAAAAATACGTAGTATGTATATGTATATATAGGAGAGAGAGAGAGAGAGATGGAGAGATAAAGAAAGAGAGACTTGTAGTTGGTCACGTATTACCTGCATCAAATCGAAATTGAGGGAATGTTGATTTCACAAGATGACTTTGAAATGGTATATAGAACCCTAAATCACCTTCTAGGTTTAAAAAAGGGGAACCGAAAGTAGATCGATGGATTTCGGTAGACGGGATGTGGAGCGGGACTGGGAACACTCAATCGTAGGCGAGATCCAGAACCGTAAACGCTTGATGTCCAAAAATTTCTTGCTAAAACCTAGAGTATCGACATAGGTTTTCCCAGTACTGACTTGTGTTCGAGTAGAGATCCGATGAGAAGATTAGCAAGTAGCGTAGAAGTGGATCGGAGTGGAGAGAGAAGGAGGGAGAGGGGAGAGTCGATTATGTAGATGAAAGGTAGAAAGAAGGTTGAAAAGAAGGGTTTTCAAAATTTTGGGATTTCGTTTCCCCCGTTGTCTACTAGAAGCGCCTTTCATTAAAATTATAAGGCGACACTTATAGAGGACGCATGCTTAAGTTAAAGCGCCCTCCGTGTTTTTAATTTTTTCTTGAGACACTAAATTAAGGGCACGCAATAATGCGTGACGTAAATCCTTAAATTGTTTGGAGAGATTACACTATTTTAAGGGCGTGTCCTTTTGCGTATCATTAATCGACACGTGTTGTAAAAAGCGCATCATTAAAGGTCTATTTTCTAGTCATGTAATCCCAAAGATCTCATGTGTGGAAAACCATAGCGTGATGCGCTGCGATCAAGTCGGCTACTTTCCTTTAAACACGAAGTACCTGAAACCAAAACTTAAAACCATACGCATGAAGCTTAGTGAGTTCCCCCATCATACCACATACCATACAATCATATCACATACATACTGCCAGGCATTTCTGGGGTGCCTGACCTACCCGGTACGACCATTTTGGGGTGTCGTCCTTCCCGTGACAAGCCAATCCGGGGTGCTGACCTACCCATGCCGAGCTATTTTGGGGTGCTGACTACCCTTCGGTCCTAACAACCAAACCCCGAGGACTATTTCACCCCTACTACTATTATCACATATAACATAACACAAACATAATATCAGACATATCTGGGGTGCCTGAACTACCCTTCGGTCCTAACAACCGAACTCGGGGACTGGTGCCCTCCTACTACCTCTATCGCATATAACATAACAAGCTAGCATGCAAACATATCATCACATACTGTCAGATGTATCTGGGGTGTCTGACTACCCTTCGGTCCTAACAACCGAACTCTACTACTATCACATACAACATATCATGCTAGCATATAACATATTAGGTGGTAGCAAACCTAGATAATATCACAAAGAGAATCATCTATCATACATCTCCTACTGGTGGGCCGGCATTGTGGCCTTAGACCCACCGCTATTGGAAGGTAACTCACCTCATACTGCTAAAGACCCGTAGACACAACCCCACACTACTGAAGTCCCGCAAACTAAACCCCAGCTACTGGATGACAGATTCCCGAACTGTCAACACCAAAATAACACCCAATTTATAATTGGGTCCCAATACATAACCATAAATACATACTTGGATAATTACTACATTACCCTAAGATTGGCTTTATTCAAGCCCAAGGCCCAAACCATAGGCCCAAAGAGAACTAGGAATCAAAGCCAAACATACAGCCCATGTAACACCCCCTCTGGCACGTATCACAATATTGTCCGCTTTGGGCCACTCGGCACGAGGACTTCCCAGGGGGTCACCCATCCTGGTACTACTCCCTGGGAAGTCCTCGTGCCGAGTGGCCCAAAGCGGACAATATTGTGATACGTGCCAGAGGGGGTGTTACAAATGGTATCAAAGCTAGGGCACGGGTCGATGTGTTCGACGGGGACGTCGAACCCTATAATGGGGGGTGAAAGTGGGTTAGATCTGATCCCATACCGACTGGGAAGGAGAACTAAGCATTCCTTATAAGGGGTGTGGATACCTTCCCTATCACAACGCGTTTTAAAGCCGTGAGGGCAGCAGATCCCATAAGAACTCTGCAGTTAAGCGTGCTCGGGCGGGAGTAGTACCGGGATGGGTGACCCCCTGGGAAGTCCTCGTGCCGAGTGCCCAAAGCGGACAATATTGTGATACGTGCCAGAGGGGGGTGTTACATTATAAGTGCTAAGGAGTGCATCTAAGTGTTGTAGGGAAAGGCTAGTATGATTGGGGTTCAAGGAACACTCATTAAATGAGTTTACTCCCTAAGGACCAACACCCCTTGAGTTTACGGTCATAAACTCTTGAGTTTACGGTCGTAAACTCCTAACCTTATTACCATTTGTTGGTTTGAAGTTTTCTAAGCTATTCCAAGCATTCCTACTTCATGATTTAGCCTTAGGATGTGTTGTGTGGCATCAAAACACTCCTAAATGGAGTTTACAATCTAAGGAAAATTTCTCCATTAGTTTAGTACCTTAAACTCATAAGTTTGGTAATTGGCGGTTTTCAATTCCTTCACTCAAACATGGCAATAGTCTAGGTTAGATTTAGACAAAAGGAACAACCGTGGGACATTTATGGGACTTTTACACCTCATTTGAGGTGTTTACGGTTTTGGGAGCTCCCCGAACTGTAAACACATAAAAATATATTATTTTGGTGCTTTTTGTGTGATACACCCATCAAGGATGGATCTATACAAGTCCCTAAGACATTGTAAAGCATTTGGACACCCTAAAGCACCCTAAGGAACTATATTTGGTGTTTACGGTTTTAGGAGCCTCCCAAAACCGTGAACACCTTGTTCTTGGTGTTCTTGGGACTTTTCCTTAGTATAAACATGTATAGCAAGCTTAAAATGACTCTAGGGTAGAAGTACTTACATAGAGGAAGCTTGAAATGAACTTTAAGTCCAAGAACACTTAGTGTGTGTTCTTAGTGTTCTTGGTGTTTTTGGAAACTAATCAAAACACAAAAATGGATGTATTAAAGGATGTACAATCACTAGATTAAGTGATATACTAACTTGAAAGGGCTAGAAATACTTACTAGATTGAAGATTTTGAATAAAAACTTAGATGATACTTGAGAGGATATTTTAGAGTTTACTCTTTTGACATTTGGGGGAGTAGACACAAATGACTAACTTTTTGGGGAGTAAACTCATACATAGGTATGAGTTCATGGTTTTGGGTGATTTCTCAACCCAAAACATAAAAGTTTGGTCGGGAATTTGTAAGACATGAGGTGTCTGCAGTTTTTAAAATTCAAAACCCGAGACGACACTTTCATTCACCCGTTCGATTAAAAATAATAGTAAAATAATCAAAAAAAACTTTATATTTCTTAAAAATAAGAAATAATGACATTGACTTATGATACGAAGTGGTTGACTTTTAGGGTTTTATCAAATGGAAATTTCGGGTTGTCACATCATCCCCCTGTTAAAGGGAATTTTGTCCTGAAATTAGAATTTAGATAAGGAAGTATGTATGAATGATCGAGTCGTGAGAAGGAAACTTCCTAATCGATTGGTTCTAGCACTCTTAAGTGAAATCGGGTTCTCGGTTGGTATCCCAACGAACCTTCACTAACTGGCGATGGTGTTGCTTCGTCCGCTTGACCTGTCGGTCTAGGGTCACTACGGTTCTAATACGAAGGCGAGGATCTCGATGAATGGACTTACAAGAGTCCTAACGGAAAGGTATGGTTTCACGATCGAGACGCGAATAGTAGAATGTACGTTAATGAGTTCGCGGAGTAGATCTAGTCTGCGAGATACAGGAGCAATTCTGGTAAGAATCTCGGAAGTCCTATCTATCTTGGGTTTAGCTTTCCATGCTTTACGAAGCGTATTAAGCCGTTCCCAGAGTGAGACTTCCTAAAGAACTTGGTCTCTCACTTGGAATTCCAAAGGTTCTTTCTCTTGCTAAACTTCCCAGTCAAGGGCCATCCCTTGCTGGGTCAAAGTCGAAAGGGTTTCTGTAGTTTGCGAGGAGTTCTGAATGAACTATGACAGTAGGTCTGTAAAACCTAGAATTTGGTGAATGACTGTCGGCGTCTCCGGTGTCAACAAATTCTCAATGGTTTTGACAAATTGAAAGAGTACTCAAAAATTCCCACATCACTAACAGTGTGTCATAGGAACCTGACTCTTCAATTTCAAAACTTGTGCTTAGAGAACTTCACAGAAGTTCCTCTGAATGTAATGTTTCCATGGGCTCCTTCTTACCACTAGGGTAGATAAGTAAGTCATTACATGGAGAAATGAAAAACTGATCCAAGTAAGAAAGACGTACCCTACTCATTTAGCTCACGAATACTATGGGCGTATTGGTCCTATCCGAAGGGTATCACTAAAGACTCGAAGTGTCCGCATCAAATTCGGAAAGTAGTCTTCCGGACATCCTTCTCTAACACTCGAACTGGTGATAGTCGGATCTCATATCCATTTTTGAGTGTAATTCTTTCCTTGCGTTTGCTCAACCAATTCATCTATGCAAGGTAGAGATAACGATTTATAATGGAATCTTGACAGAGTCCTCGATATCTGAGGTACATACGATGCAATTCGTCGACCTCTGGGAGAATAAGACTGGGGCTCTCCAAGGTGAGAAGCCTAGTCTTACAATTCTATTTCTACATAGTTCGCTAAGATGTCCGGACTGTTCTTGTATCTCCGTAGGTGTTTAGACTGAAGGGCAATCTGTTTATAGAAGTCGTACCAGGTACTAAGTTTGTTCACATGAGGATGTGATTACTCGTAAGCTTGGGCAGTTCTCCGTCCTGAAGTTCATATTAGAATTCATACATGGTTTCACAATCACAGTCTCGTGTATGCGAGTCGTATATAATTAAGATTGAAAAGGTAGTCGAATAGCTGATTCATTTTTAAGCTCATATCCCATCGAGGAAAAAGA